TGGATGGAAACTGAACAAAGAGAGAAGCAACCTAGAACTAAGGAGAAACTTCCTGACAGTGAGAACAATTAACCAGTGGAACTGCCTGTCTCCAGAAGTTCTGGCTGCTCCATCATTGGAAGTTTTAAAGAAAAGACTGGTCAGCCATTTCTCTGAAATGGTATAGGGTTCCCTCTAAAGTCCCTTCTAAGTGTTATTCTGTTATTCTGACACCTTTCCCAGGACCTCTACTCAGAGTTTGGCATCCTCAGTTTTCCTGCCTGAGCAGGGGCTTGGACTAGAAGACCTCCAAGTCCCTTTAAACACACATGTATTTAGGCTCTGGACTATAGACATTGAATGCATGTAAACCCTGAAAAATATGTGGTAGCCCTGGGCAAAAGAAAGGCATTAGAATCACTCTAGGTGTAGGGACAGTGTAAAATATTAACACATGATAAATAATGGAACAATTAAAAATAATAGCACAGTTTTCTCTGTCTATCTCTCTCCCTTTCTTCCTATTTCTTTTTCTTTCTTTTTCTTTGTCTCTTTCTGCCTTTCCCTTCCTTTTTCTCTCCCCCCCCCCACACACCACACACACACTCCTTCTTTTTCTTTCTTTCTCTCCCTTCCTCTTTCTTTCTTGTTCTTTCTTTCTTTCTTCTCTTTCTCTCTCTCTCTCTGTCACACACTCCCCTGTCAGCCTTCATGCCCTCTCACTCCAGCCACTTTACTCACAAGGGGAAACGAATCCAGCATTGGGGAAGTTTTGCAAGTTAACGAACATGCATTTGCACAGCTCATTCAAAATTCTCTGTGGCTGGATTTCCTCCCCCCCCATTCCCCCTCACTCCAACCACTTTACTCACAAGGGGAAGCGATACTTCTAGTGTCCATGGAGAATCCAGCTTTGGAGCAGTTTTGCAGGTTAACGGACCGCTGCTTCACCCACAGCCATGTGTTTTCAAGTGGCTGTTTGAAAATGCATGGCTAGGGCAGGGGAGCAGTCCTCCTTTAAACTGGGGCAGTGAGCATCGGGCAGGCGGGGCAAGCGAGTGAGTGGAAACCAGGCGACTGGGTTGGGGGCGTGGCCAGCCAGATGTTGCTACCAGTTCGGCAACCCACGCCAAATTCTTGCTACCGGTTTGCCCGAATAGGTGCGAACCGGCTGAATACCACCTCTGTTTAGTTGTCTGTTTATCTTGGTGTGGTATCTAAACATTGTCCCAAGAAACTTCAGTCATGATTGCATCTCTGCCACCCACTGTAGCATACATTTTTTAAAAATGCAGACATTGTTCAATATATATGAAATTATAATTAAATTCCATTTGAGGGAAATTTTGTAAATTATAATCTTTTCCTTTTATTATAACAAACTTGAAGTAATTTCTTTTGTTGTTCCTAGTATTCCTGATCCTCGGTTCTTTCTGAGCATTTAGCTTTTCTGACAAAATTGCTACCACTTCATGTTCTTTGCATATAACATCATCTAAAGTGGTGGGATTCAAATTTTTTTACTACTGGTTCTGTGGGCTTATCTTGGTGGGCGTGGCAGGGGAAGGATGCTGTAAAATCTCCAGTCAGAGGTGGTATTTGCCGCTTCTCCAAACTACTCAAAATTTCTGCTACCGGTTCTCCAGAACTGGTCAGAACCTGCTGAATACCACCTCTGATCACCTACCTTTTCACTGCCTCTCTGAGTACTTTTGGTATTCAGATTTTCACTAAATGTATAGGCACTGGTTTATTTTAATGTGTCAAAAAAAAAATCCTCACTGGAATTGTTAAAAGTTTTTTTCTTTCGGAATTCCAACTAATCTTGAGCACCTTTCATTTAATTATTTAAAATCTCTTTTTTATATAAAAATCAAACTATATGTTTGATCGCAGTCAGCTTTGATTTTCTTTCAAATCAAGAATCCTAGTATTCTATTTATACTATGCTATTTCTATTTTTAACACTCCCCATTTACTTCTTATCAGTTCAGAGGTTTACCCTTTTCTGTGTTCATCCATTCCCTGAAGGAGTAAGTTGGCAGCAATAAAAGTTAAAAATTTCCTGAAAGAGCCATGCTTGGCTGAATTAATCTCATCAGGAAGAATAGACATTTTAATAAATAAATATGAATTAACAAATAATCATCTTTAGGTTAAACTAATTTTAAGAAACCCTTATCCTCTTAGAGACATATCTAAGACCTTAAAATAGGAAACAGTTAAAAGTAACAAATACCCATGAAAACTATGCATTTTCATAAGTCAAGGAAAATGGAATAAACAGTCTCATATTAAAACATTTTAGTACTCCAAAAATTGCTTAGAAAAATAGCAAAATGCCTAAATATTAATATAAAAATATAGAAACATTTTCAAAAATTAAAAAAAAAGAAAAGAAAAAGAAAATAGTGAACTCCAGAGCCATTTCTGCAACATAATAAACACCTATCCTTTGGTTAGGGAGATCATTTGCAATTAAAATTACATTTATCAATTTAGTATTTATTCAATCTATTCATTTTTCTGATCCCCACTTGAAAAGAGATCTATTTGTTCCCAAATCTGGTTTTGATTATTTGATTATGTGTTATCAAGCAGACGTTAACTCTGTAAGATCACGTAGAGGTATTTTTTTCCAGGTAATCCCCATCTATCATATCTAGCACTAATCAAAAATTGCTGGATAAAGAAGAAAAACTCTTTCCTCACTGAATTCTTATGTTTGTTAATTATGCACAGAGGCAGGTCAGGAAAAATCCTCATTCTAGTATAATATGAAGATGATTGTTGGGAGAACTGCAAAATTCTATCTTGTAGAATTTTTATAATTAATATAATTAATTATAAAAAATCAATATAATCCTCAATTTTGAATGAGTGAAAATCTCTGTATTACCTAGATTTTATTTTCAGATCTCATTCAGATGGTAATGAAAAAAAGTTCAAAAAAGAACTTTTCCAAAAATACCTCTAGGGGCTACTCTCGCTCTGCTTAAAAGAAAACCCACTATTTTTGAAGAATGAATCTTGCATCCAAATTATTTTGTCTTGGAGCTCCACTATTTCTTTGATGTGTTTCTGATTAGCATGTTTAAGTTAGTCATTTCTGTGGTCAGAGGAATACTATATCCTAAAGGCTAATGCATAGTATTTTGCAAAGATTATGCGAGGCCCTTGATGAATAAAATTCCTCAGATCTCTTCTAAAGCGGACTGTGACTGGGGTTACTAGGACAAGTTTTCATCTATTAACTGGGAGTAGTTTGTGCTTGTAAAACTTGAGAAAGCAGAGGGAATTTTTAAGGCTTTTAGTGTGCTCACTCTCAGTTAGATCCAAGCCTCTTTTACTTAGTCAAGACCATCTGGGAAAAATCTTCTTGTGGGAACTAAGTGGAAGTGATTTCATCCTTGAATAATGGGATTCTCCCTGCCTGAAAAAGGTGGTGATGTGCTTTCATCTTAACAAATTTTTACTAGATCCAGTGATATTGAGCAATTTTCCTCCTTTTGAGCAAAGATCTACTAGATATAGATTATCTTGGCCTTTTTCAGTAAAGTTTCATGCCCAGATATAATGCTGAAAAACATTATTTGTGGATACTATCTTGTGGCACTGGGACAGAGATAGTACCACTCTCTGGACTTGCTTGACCTCTTAATGACCATTACCATCAATGATGATATTCTTCAGGTTTTTGGGAGGAGGAGACACTATTTTGAATTCTCTGAAGTTGGTATCAGTGTTGGGCAGAAGAGGGGAAGGGGAGGCTGATATTTATTCCCCAAGGATCTGTGCTCTTTCCTTTTCTATTTAATATCTGATGAGACTGCTTGGGAATTAATTTGATAACATAGATTCAGGTATCCTCACTTTACTAGATGATTACCAGTTGTATATTTGGAGCCCCATCTGACTTATTGTGGAAATGATGTCTCAGTGTCTGGAAGCTGTTAGCAAATCAGTGAGGAGGAATCGATTTAATTTCAATTCTAACAAAAATGAATGACTTGGGATCAGGTATGCCTGGGATTTTCCATTTTTAGTTCTCCATTGTGTAGCATTTCTGAGGCAGGTGTGCGATTGGTACTGAAGGCTTTTCTTGGAAGAGCAAGTGGTATCAATAGCCAGGATGTCTTTTGAATAGAAAATGCGTCATTTTCTACCCTTCCCTATTGACAGAACCTGCTCATGGTATCTTAGTTACCTGCCACCTATGTGCGCTGTAGATGATAGAGTCAGAATCTGATAGAGAATGCAACTTTGCAAGCAGTTATGGGCATACCTCAGTATGCCCATGTGACATCTATATTTTCTGAGCTGGTTACCAATTCAAATTGCTAATTGATATCTGCAACATAACTTGGAATCTGATTATTTGTGGGATTGCCTTTCTGGTTGTCTCTCTCATAAGATCTAACACAATAAGCATGTACCAATCTTATGGGATCCTGGAGACATCCTTCTTTTTCCTGCTGTCTGAAATCCAGATCTACCAGGGGCTTGTCTAAGTCCTATCCCTGCTTTGATTTAGAAAGGCATTGAACACTTGGATTTTGAACAGGCTGTGGGCTATGATGTTTTGTGGTTCCATCAAGTGATGATTTATGGAAGATGGTAAAACTATTTTTATATACTTCCACATAATATCATTTCATTTTTATATCTTTTGCATCCTGATTACTTTTACTTTTAACACATGTTGCCTTGATAGCAAGGGGGTAATAATGTTAATGATTTATTAAATATACTTTTAATTTTATTTAATTTTCTGTATCTGCTGCCACTTAATATCTTTCCTGGATTTTAGCAGCCCATGTTTGGTAAAGTCTATTATTACACACATTATTCTTAAGAAGCCAACTATTTGGTTTTGTGTTTGTGTCTTTAAATACCCTTTTTAGTTATCCAAGACAGTCATACAACATTGCATTACTTGGTACTTTTTTTCATAAGTTTCTTGGTAAAGTGTGGAATCTGCCTAATTGCTAAATGTTGTGATGATTTTGTGTCCCATTTAGTTGAAGAAGATTGGTGGTGGTGGCTTTGGTGAGATTTATGAAGCAATGGATCTTTTAACTCGGGAGAATGTAGCTCTGAAGGTTGAGTCAGCTCAGCAACCAAAGCAAGTCCTCAAGATGGAAGTGGCTGTTCTAAAAAAGCTACAAGGTAGAAGATACAATTATTCTGAAAAGTGACTGAGGTTTATAGAGTTTGATTAGACTATTATCTGTTTTGTGTTAAAAGATGACAATATACCATATTTAAACAAAATACAGCTTTGTTTGCGATCCAGTGTTTCTTTTCAGTGAAATTTTTATGTTGCAATGTCACCTGATTTTAATACAGTTTTAATTATCACAAATTTTCTACAAAGAGCTACATTAATTGTAGCTTGTCAGGAAGGATTATAATTTTCAGTTGGATATTTTATGTTTCATATCCAAAGCCCCAATAATTGGACTCCTATCAGAGAAAGCAACTTTTTTAGACAAGGTAAGTTACGTTGTGGAGATGCACGATTATTAATATTTTCTCCTGCACTTCTAAGAGAACTACATGCTCTGGTTTAGTCTGAAGGGAGTGCTTTTGTTACTGCAGCAAATATTATAATACCAAGAACATAAAATATAATACTGGCAAGAAGAGTAAGTGGCTTAGTTACTATGCCTATCTCTCTTATGGACTGGCATACGATTTGAAAATATGAAAATGAGAAAAAAGTAGTTAAATATAATCCAATCTTTATTATGGTTATACCTAGCAAAAGAAGAGTGGGATACAAAAATTAGTAATTTAAAACAGTAAGCAATATAAAATACACATGGTTAAAAACCTTTTAAAAAGCTTAAACACATACACATAAACTCCACACCAATCTTTTAAAAAATCTATAAAAAGGGGCAAAGACATTAATTAAAAACAGGGAAAAATAAAAGTTAATATATGGCTCGTTCTCAGAAATGTATCACAATAGTAAATACTCTTAACTAAGAAGTTAAATATTAAGGTTGGTCTGAGGCACAGGTCATCCATATCTGACAGATTTTAATTGCTGCTGTGCAGAATCTGCAATACTTATGTTGTAACAATAGGATTAGTGTCTGCAAGCAGCAGGGAGGTATAAAATAATCAGGAGTGGGATTCAAATTTTTTAACAACCGGTTCTGTGGGCATGGCTAAGTGAGCATGGTTTCTTTTTTTCAGGCCCCCCCCCCCCATTTTTTTGCCTTCTGGGCCTCAGGGAAGCCTCCTGGGCAAAGTACTAGGACAGCGAGGGAGATCCCGGCACAGCTGATCATCAAAACAGCTGATCATCGGGAGGGGGAAAAAGGAAATACCTTAAGGAGTGTGGGCGGGGAAGAATGCAGTGAGCAATATTGCACATGCACGATAAGGACTGACTGGGCGGGGAGGGGCGGGCAGAGAGAGGTGGGGCCAGTCAGGGGCAGGATTTGCCGGTTCTCCAAACTGTGCAGAATCGTAACAATCAGTTCTATAGAACTGGTCCGAACTGGTAGAATCCCACCCCTGAAAATAGTGCTATGCACCTTATTTATCCTATGGGTATTTATACAGTATTTGTGAGATGAGGGTAGTGCACATGTCTCTATAGCATAGGCCTTGGAGGAGCACATTCTCTTTTGATTCTGTATGTCCAGAGTCATAGGACATTGCCTTTCCTGGAAGAGAATTTTCCTGTATCAGCCTTCAAGGATTGGTGAAGGGAAATAGTCAAATAGTACTTTCCAACTAAGAGGAGGTCATTGCTGTGGAAATCATGTAACAGTCCAACCTTGCTGATTGGAGGAAACCTGATAGCTGGGGTAATGGACAGTAGGCAAAGGCAAAAGTTTTTAATTCAGAGGCGGGGGAAAAACAGAAAGAGCTAATTTTAAGTCCAAGTACAGGTTCGACTGAAGTATATTCACTAAGAATTATTATAAAAAGATACTATGTATTTGGGCTGCCTTTTACAGTTTTTTTTTATCTAAATTCAAATGAGCTGAAAACTTGAAGCTGCTTAAGCACAGTTCAGAGTACATAATTACCCAGAAAGAGGCATGAAAATAGATTTCTAAATGGAAGTTCTGACAGTGATTTGTGGGGATTTTCAGTAGAAGTTGAGCAAGGGGACTTAGGTATGAAACTGTTTAGTTAAAATGGAAATAATCGGTAGTTAGAGTTTAGAATTTTGGTAGCTATTTCCCATGATTCCCCTTGCTTGATTACATCAGATACTGTTTTTGATCTCAGGTCAATGTGATTCTAGTGACCATTGAAATAGCTTAAAATTGATTATATAAAAATAGTTTGGATAGAACCAGGTGAATTTGGCAGGTGTTTTTTCTGAAGATAATAATTAAGGCAAACAACTCATTCTCAGGAAGGAAGATAAAAATAGGGCAAAAAAAGTAGCTAAGGGTTATATGTTAGAGTAGAGTACTCTGTACGAACTATATGGAATGATTCAGGAAACTAAAGACATCCTGGATTCCTGAAGTTTTTAGTGTTGTTGTTTTTTGTGTGATCCCTTGAAGTCACAGGGATTCTGGAAGACTTTTTGAAAAACACTTCTTATAAGATGATAGTGGCAAGCTAACTGCATTCTGTTTGACTGAGCATGGAATGTACACTTTGCAGGGAAAGATCATGTTTGCAGATTTATTGGCTGTGGAAGGAATGAGAAGTTTAACTATGTTGTTATGCAACTTCAGGTAAGCTTTTCTGCTTTTTTTAAAAAAACTTCATAGTTGTATTTACCATACCCTTAGTGATTATAGGGATTCTTATCTTGATGATCAATTTTATAGGCAAGCCAAACATGTGGAAAGTTTTTTCTCTTTGAAATACCATGGAGATGGAAAAGGACTAGCAAGAAGGAGGTGAAAGGAATCACCTTCTCCTTCCCAGGGGTTACCTGAAAGAAGGTTCTGACTATTGAGGATATTTGCCTCTGAAAATAAGGCAGGATGGCTGTCTTTAACAGGACCCAGAGGATATGGGGAGAGGACTATTTAACCACTCTCCTATCATTGCTTCTCCCCTCCCCCACAATAATCTTACGGTTCCTTCCATTTCTCCTGCCTCACAATAGATTAATAAAGATGGAAATGACCTTATGGATCATGTAATTCATCCTTGAATTCCGTGGAGGACCCACTACAGCTTCCTTGACAAATGACTATCCAACCTTTGTTGAAGACGTCTAGTGGTTGGCTGACAACTTACATAGTCAGGAAGTTCTTCCTGATGTCTAGCCTGAATCTCCATTCTTGTAATTTTCGTTCATTGGTTCTGGGACAATAGAGGAAACCCTCCCCCTTCAAATTTCATTTTTGCTATTTGTATCTCCAAAATTGCTGGTTATAGAGTTGCCAACTGACTCTTCGGTATGCTTATTTCATTTTGCAGCAGATAGAAGAGAAAAATCTGACTTTGGTCTTTAACTGATTTTTAAATTAATGAAATTGCTTACCTGTCCACCTTTGGATGGAAAGTCTTAATGCTGATAGCCAAAAGGCATAGTTCAGTTGTCAATCTGGTGGATTAAATAATATCTGCTGTTAAAATCTGATATAGAAATCTGACATTCATTTATTTTCAGGGCCGGAATCTTGCAGACCTCAGAAGAAGCCAGCCTCGAGGAACTTTTACACTGAGCACAACTCTTCGATTAGGCAAGCAGATCTTAGAATCCATAGAAGCCATTCACTCAGTGGGATTCTTGCATCGAGATATCAAGCCTGTAAGTGGCTGATATATGCTGGTGGCTGACCTTCTCTACATAGTTTGCTTTACCTATTGATGTTTATTAAGAACAATTCTCCTTGCAGTTGGAAAACATACCTCTCAGGGGCATTGCATGAGTTTTAGAGAGAGAAGTGTATTCATGAAATGCAAATAAAAGCATGACTTTATGTTTTGGGATAGGTAAGGCCTCACTTACCACATGGGCCTGTGTATTTAACTAGTTCCAAGTTGCAAAGGCATTTTATCATTTCATGTTTTATAATCATTTTTTCTATCAATAAATGAGAATATGCATATGTAAATAGATCAGTAACAAAAAGACAGTAATAGCTATACTATAACTCTGATTGGGGGACTAAGCTGTTAGTTTTATAAAAAAATCAAAATATTCTTGTGAAATTGGCTAGAGCTTTCAAAGAAGAGTCCTTCTATGATTCCCTCTTCAAGAGAGGGAATTCAAATTCAGATAAGAATTTCAGAATTATTCCTAGTATTTAAATCTTGAGAAAACTGAAACAATATTTATTAGATTTATATCAATTTATTTTTGTATCAGCGCAAGCAATGTATATAATGCTGCTATCTCTTAGGTGGTTTGGACTGAGAGAGAGTGACACTGAGATTCATGCGTAAGTGAAAGAACTCAGTCTTCCAGTTTCTAGGTTAACACATTAACCATTATACCAGCTAACCTCTTAAACTCAGGAGTGGGATTCTACCAGTTCAGACCGGTTTGAGCAAACCGGAAGTTAAAGTTACATCTGGTTTGCTGAACTGGTATTTCAACACGCCCATCATGGCCACGCCCACCCACCAACCAGGCAGCGAACTGGTTGCTGGGATTTTTGAATCGCATCCCTGCTTAAACTCCTAAGTTTGATATTTATTTCTTGCAGGAGTTGGATTGATATCCTTCCTTTTGCTCTAGGCACTGTTGAAAATCCAGAGTCTTTTGGGGCTAAAAACATACCTTTACAAAGTCTGGTTTTCAAGACTACATTTACCAGTGATTGCATGCCGAATTGCATACTGTTCACCTTCTCATGTGCTTTCAAGCCTTACCTATGAAGGGCTACTAATGTATTAATATCTTCTTATTGTGCCTGTTTAGTCTAATTTTGCCATGGGACGCCTGCCTTCAACCTACAGGAAATGTTATATGTTAGACTTTGGTCTGGCCCGGCAGTATACCAATACTAATGGTGAAGTCCGACCTGTAAGTGATGTTTTTTCTATTTCTTTTTCTGTCATTGTAACAGATGAAAAAAACCCAATATATTTTTGTAGTATCCTTGGTGCTCTCCAAGCACCAACAATGCTCTCCAACATTTCTTCTATCAGTACCATTATATTTTTACACTTATTTATTTCTATTCATATGCTGCCAATCCGTGTATTCATGTATTTATATTTTGTTGTGTATTTGTGTTCTTTTATATTGCCAGTCTATGCACATGCCAAAGGCACACAGAACATTATATACAGCATTCGGTGTGCCTTTGGCATATAGTCCTGCTGGCCACATGACCACAGAAATTGTCTTTGGACAATGCTGGCTCCTTCAGAAAAGAAATGGAGACGAGTGCCATGTCCTAGAGTCGGCCATGACTGACAGGGAAACCTTTATCTTTTATTACTGCCAGTAATAAAACTGGGCACTGTTGTATTATTCATGTTTGCAGTACTGTCAGTTTAACATACCTATTTGTTGAGATGAAAACTGAATATGATAGATTCTTCTAATTGCCAAAGAGTTATTACATATGATTTCAGAATAAAATATTACTTTGCTTATGTCTGTCTGTCTATCAGTTACTTATATCAGTACTAACAAAAGAGAACACTGTAAATTGTTCATCCTTTTGTCCCATTAACAACTTTTATAGAAGATTGTTTTTATTTTTATTTTAAAAGCACACTGCTCATGCTGAATTCATGCACATTCAGAAGAAGCAAATTTGCACCTAATAATATTGTGAGTGGTAGTGGCATATATAATTGATCTTACTTTTTTCCTGCTACCATCCCTAAACATCTCTAGAAGGTTAGAAGAAACTGCTGAAGAGCAAGGTTTTACTGGTATAAGATTCTTCTGTTTGATTTCAATTAGTGATTTATGTTAGCTCTTCTGTTCCTCTCTACAGCATTTCAGTATGGTTTGCTGCATTTATTTTAAAACAGTTAAAATAAATAGGTGCCCAATTCCACTGGTATAATAACATTGTTTCTTTGGAATAGGATTATTTTGATAGCCTTAACTAAATTTGGGCAACAACTGAACCTCTCGGGGAAGGAAGCCTGTTCCAAAATAATGAGATTGCAGTGGGAAAATAATGCACTGAGGGCCCTCAGACCCTCAAAAAGGAAGGGAACCTGAAGCACCTCATCATGAGATGAACTGGTTTATTTGAAGGAAAGATTCCTCAAAATACCTAGGAAACAGGTGAAGAGATTCATAGATTAAAACCAGCACTTTGTATTTACCCTTTTAGAAACTAATGCAGCAGGTACAAAAATGGTGTTATGTTTATTTGTTTTTAAAATGTATTGCCAGATACTTGGCAGGTTGCAGTAATTAAACATTAACGCATCTGCAGTATGGTTAATAAAGTATAAAACCAAAAAAAATCAACCAATAACTAAACTCGGTATCCTAATGCTAGTCATAGACCCCTCTGAACAATTTGATTTTCAAAAATATTTAAATTAGAAAACCAAAATATTGAAGGCAGTTTCACTATCAAGGGGGAGGTGTGACAAATCTGCTTGTGGAAGGAGATCCAGCAGCATTTTTGTACACAGTCTTTTAGATTTTATAAATGGCAATCACATGGTAACTTTGAATTATATCCAGAAGTTAATAGGGAGCCATATAGCATTCATAGCACCTATATAATATTCCTGATGATGATTACTGGCTAATAACTAACTGGAGGCTGCATTCTGGATTAATTGCAGCTTCTAAGAAGTCTTCAAAGGCATCTCCAAGTAGAATGTATAGGTCTATACTAGTAGTGATAGAGCATGACATATCCTCTTGCTGTAGGAACACCCATAAATGGTCAGCCAGCCAGCTGGCCAAATAGTCCACCTATCTTTCATGTAGGAGTGGTGAGTTCAGAAGGACCCCCAATTCAGGGACCTGTTTCCGTCAAAGTTAACATTGGAATAGTCACAGTATCTGAATGGATAAAGTGCAACTTTACCTTGCTGGGATTCACTTTTAGTTTATTTCATCCTGTCTAGCTCCCAACAGCCTTCAGATACTGCAACAAAACACTGATAGCATTTCCTATTTGATGGTGGGATAGGGTGGCAATGCAGCATTGGGTATCATCATGATACCCTGAATCAATGCTGACTGTACCCATTGGCTTCATGTAGCTTTATATGGGTAAATATTTAATATTATATCTGAGTTGCAATATTTTCTATACATATCTTTCAGGATTGAATGTAGGCATTGTAATTAATCATTGCATAAACACTGCTCCCAGTATTTGCCAAGATTTCAATGGGGTCAAATGATATCTCTCAAGATGAGCCCAAAGAAGAGCTGAATACTGAAGTTTCTTATTTCTGCCAGTGACCAAAGCTAGGATTAAAGCTTAATAATAAGCTTGAAAGTTTGAAAAGTTAAATCCATCTTACTTACCAGGTAATTGTACTTTGTGCAATGAAAGCTCTAAGTACCAATATAATTATTCTCTATTTTTACTTTTTCTTCAAATTTTTTTAAAGGAAATGATTGTGATACAGAGCCCAATATCACACTATTCAGTATGTTAAAGATCAAAGTGCAGAGCAAATCTGCAATCAATATTGTTAAAGCCATTTCATCCCTCTTCTTTTTTTAATATATTTACTGCATAGGTACGTCAGGTAGCTAACTATTTGGTTTAAATAAAATAGCCGACATTAAAACTTAACAATTTAAAACTAGTTCAGTAAATACATTAAACTATATCAATAAGAGAAAACACTGAAAGATAATAGTTTAAGACCCACTTAAGTTGTCAATCTCTTAGCATTCTGGAAGTTGATTTTTTAAAAATATTTTCTTAGGTAACCCAACTATTGTCTGTATTAAATATAGCTATGGCATCCTTATGGGAGCAGTTGTTTAACACAGAATCCTGTGTATTTCAGAGATGAATCCAGGAGAACAACCAAACAGACAATAACAGTTTCCAACGTAAATGAAATAGAAATGGAATCCAGTTCAGGTTGAAATCCTATTATTTGACTGATCCAGACATATTTCTTACTTGGATTAAACTTCAGTCTATTTCCTTCATTTTTTGCATTATTGTCCTCTACCAAGGACTTAAATTTGAAAAGCTTTATTAAATTTAAAGACAAAGTACATGAATCTGGATTTAATAGCACATGCTGGCAATGTGTTCCAAAACTCCAGGTGCTTTTTTCTATCAGTTGTGTATATATATTAGGTAGTATAAAGGATGAAATAGAATTGTGAGGGATACTAGAGTATCCCTGCCATAGGCCACAACTATCATAAAGATGAGTTCACTCTCCATTATCACTTCTTTTAATGCCACAACGTGTACTTTATCTGATAGCATTGCTATGACAGCAGCAAAAAGTCTAAACATCCAGCCAGAAAAGCAGTTGGGACATTTGGCAGCAGTCATTCGATGAGATTCTATGGTTGCCTCAGATAATTATGCTGAGGGAACTGAAAAAGACTGATAAGTTGCCAACTAAATTTTAACTTGAGCACTTAACTAACTGCTTTGGAAAATTTAGTGATAGCGACATTTTTAAGGAGAAATACACTGTCAGTTTAAGCGGAAACATTGCTGCTGTTGGCAGCATTTTAGCAGAGGTCTAAAAGAAACTGCTATATTCCATCCTCGTTTTGAAAGCAGACACAGGATGGAGAGAAAGAGGGGAGAACTGTACATTTATATCATTAGCTGAATTCTGCTTCTGGGAAAATCAGTTTCAAAGAAACAAATGTAGTTCTACCTTTGTTATGCTAATAATAAAGGAAACAGTTCATACAATTCACAAGAACGTTTCGTTTTGTCTTGTTAGCTCTGAAACATGGCAATGCCTTTCCAGATTTTTCTTGGGTAAAACTTTGAATAGCCAAAATTGGCAGCCTTTGCCCTGCCCAGAATGGTCCAACCAATGTTCCACGTTACCATATGTGTGTTTCTTGCACAAAACAAAATACATTTTCTCAGTTCCAAACTCTTTGGTACCCCAAATAGGAAAGGTGTGGAAGTGGCGGGGGGGGGGGAATACATGTAGGCACTCTCATGGCTCTCCAAGGAGAGTGTGGAGATGGGTGACTCATGTCTGCCATATATGGGAATGTCCTACATCTCTGGCTGCCTCTCCATGGCTTTGCCTTGCTCCTTCTCTTGAGATGGGCAGAGAAGCTACAGTTGTTGCTTCTATCTTTCCCAGCTAGCCAGGCTGCTAGTGAGATGGCAGCCACTCTCTCCTTTTCTCCTGCCTTATTCTCTATCTTGGTGCACAAGGGGAAAAAAACACTAGAAAAGCTTCCAAACTGTAAGAGCTGTTATCTAAAATACCGCATGCAGTGACACACATTGTTTCAGATTACCATTGATACTGGGCTCATCTATCTTGATAGTGTAATGCTCCTCCCAGTTTAATAAACCTCTTTGCTGAGAATTATTTGGTTTTCTGGAGAGCATTTCTGAAATGATGAAAAATATGCAGCATTTTATCATGAGAAGTCTCTTTTGTTTGCATGAGTTGAAAACTTTGCATGCTGCTGTTCTGCTGACTTAGCTCTAGATTATTGATTAAAGCTATTTCCTCATGAATGAGACTGCATTGCAGCAGTTTGCAATACTTGATTTAAGAATATTGCACATATGTGTAAGTATGACTTGGTTTCTGGATTCAGCTGTATGGTTGAAGCAGAATGTGACAGAAAAGCATCTGATAAACTTTGTGTAAATCAGAAATTTGAAGAAGAGGAAGAAAAACCCACAACAAAATCCTGTTTATATAACATGACCAGTTTTTAAAAAGAGCATCCAAATCCAAAAATGAAGATTGTTACTGATTCTGGTATTTCCTAATACAAATGTTTATTAGTCATCATTATCACTGCAAGATGTAACAGTATTATGATGGTAATTAATCATGGACTCTGTATTTAAAAGCATTTCACATGATCCCACAACCAAGTTAGATTACCAATTCTATTTC